GCGCGCGCGTGCCTGCGCATGTGTGTGTGTGGCCAGCTCAGCCTACCAGGGGGTGGAGCTGGCTGGCATGTGGTGCTGGGGGATTGAACCCCGGTCCCTGTGCTCTGCCAAGCTTGTTCTAAGTAGGTGCTTTAGACCACTGAGCCATCCTACCAGCCCTAGAATGAATGTATTTTGGAGAGACACTTACAATATACAAAACAGTCCACAATAATGAAAATGGCAGATAAAGTCCAATACTTGATGGAGCTTAAAATCTAGTCAGGATAAATTGATTGGTGTACCTTTAGTTCATTTTCTGTTAAAGTGAGATAACATGGTTACTGTGAGGGTTTTCATAAAGGAATGTGTTACACACTGCAGAAATACCAAAAAATTGTTAAGCCAGTAACACTGATGATCCCACTGTCCCTCTTGGGAGAAATAGAACACAGACATTATCCAGTGAGTACAGTGTTCTTTGGTTTGCTGCTGAAAAGCTTATTAAAAATTGTCAGGTAAGACTGGGCGTGGTGGTACACACCTGTAATGCCAGTGGTTGGGAGGCTAAAAACAGGAGGATCACTATGAGTCTGATCTGTGTAGTGAGACCCTGTACTAAAATACATAAAAAAGAAATTGTCAGGTAATAATTACAGCTGTCCTGTATTAATCACAGAATAGGTTCCAGGTCCTGCTTTGAGGGCTTTCGATGGTTTGCTTTAACCCTGGGAATGATGTTTGATGAACTAGTGTTGCAGATCTTAGAAATTAAAGCACTATGTTTTCTTTCTTTTTTTTTTAAAGTAATTTTTTTATTTAGTGTGTGTGTGTGTGTGTGTGTGTGTGTGTGTGTGTGTGGCCAGCTCAGCCCACCTGGGGGCGGGGACGGCTGGCATGTGGTGGATCGAACCGCGGTCCCTGTGCTTTGCCAAGCTTGTTCTAAGTAGTGTTTTAGACCACTGAGCCATCTCTCCAGCCTCAGCACTATGTTTTCACGTAGGAGTTGGTCATTGCTGAGAGGGAGCTATAGATTAGCATGTCGGTCTACAGAGTGGCTGTTATTCAGAAGACAGGGCTAAAGCCTCTTCTTCTTCTTTTTTTTGGTGGAACTGGGGATTGAACTCAGGCCCTTGCACTTGCCAGGGAAGCACTTATTCCACCGAGCCATCTCCCCAGCCCCATTAGGAGAATTTTTTTTTAAAGACTCTTTAACTAACAGTATATGTGTGCTTTAACATTTGATAAAAACTCCATATGTGATGACACTTGCTACTTTTGGTTAATAGCAACTAGTTTCATAATGAAGGCGTGGCACAGGGACTCCACAAGGAGAGGTGGGCAGTAGCTTTTGTCTGTTGTGACATGCTCAAATCACTTATTGTTTTTACATTGTCATGATCTTCCTCAGGAAGACAGTAGGAGGAGCTAAATATGGAACATAGTTCATCTGACCTGAACTTCTAGAGTTTCCTAAGATGCCAGATTGGCACTGTCTGTGCATCAGATATGATTTATAAGTGGGAAACTTCTTTCGCTCTCTCTCACAATTACATCACACATAGACAGAAGTTGATATATTTGTTTCCGCATAAAAATCTCAACTGCAAAATTTGGAGTAATAGAAAAGAAACCTTGGTATGAGTTTTATCAGTTATCAAATTTAAATTCCTACTTAACAAATGAGGAAAATGAGACCATGCAATGATTTCCTAATTACTTAGATTTTTTTGATCAAAGACAAACTTAGAGACTTGGAGTGAACCTATGGAATTACATGACTTTCCTCAAATAAAGCCTAAACGTTGACCAATATCTACAAACATACAGAATACCATGTGGATGGTGGCTGATGGTGGTTTGTGTCTTTAAAGTAAATTTCATATGAGATATTTTCTAAGGATAGTAAAAATTTAAACCCTATCAATACTGCATAAAATTTTCTAACTTTTGTTTTGATACTCCTTGATGTACTGGGGTAATTGATTACTTAGCATCTCCCTCCATCCCTCCTCTTCCTGTACAGAAGAGGAGCTGCCCGGCATGGTGGTGTGGGTGACTGGGGCCTCAAGTGGAATTGGTGAAGAGCTGGCTTACCAGCTGAGCAAGCTAGGAGTTTCTCTCGTGCTGTCTGCCAGAAGAGAGAACGAGCTGGAGAGAGTGAAAAGAAGATGCCTGGGTGAGTAGCCCTACAGCGGCAGCCCTGCTTCCTAGACAGGAGACATGTCTGAGCTGAGGTTCAGCTTTGGGAATTTATGGAGAAGATGGGACTTTCCCAGTCAGCACCCCCTGGATGCGGAAGCTCCAAGCGCCTTGACCCAAACCTTTTGCTACCTAAGTACTCTTCCCTGCCTTTTTCCCTTTTCTGCCACCTTTCTACTCTCTCTCTCTCTTGTCCCTTTCCTTAATCTTCCCTTCTCTCTCTCTTTTTAAAATATTTATTTATTTATTTGGTATAGTCTCCCTCTATAGCTCAGACTTGTAGTGATCCTCCTGTCTCAGCTTCCCCAGCTCTGGGATTATAGGGGTGCACCACCATGCCCAGTTTCACTGGTCAGCTCTTCATGGGGCCAGCATGGCATGTGGTACTGGGGATCAGACCCAGGTCCTGCACATGCCAGGCAGTTGCTTAGAATGCTGAGCTATCTCCCCAGCCCCTTCTCTCTCTTTTTCTTGATATCTTGCACTGACACTACCAATTCTCTCAAATGCTCAGGAAGTTTAAGTGACCAGGTCACTCAGTGTGTTTGTCTTCGAGTACAGTGCAGTCCTATCCATCAAAAATATATTAAGTCGGGGCCGAGGAGATGGCTCAGTGGAATAAACGCTTCCCTGGCAAGTGCAAGAACCTGAGTTCAATCCCCGGTTTAAAAAA